TTCAAGATGATAATTTGTACAATAAGAAATTATTCGGATCCCATTTTCTAAGCAATGTACATGTTGTAAGGTGTGGACTACTGTGTCAAAATTAAGTGTTTTGTTAGCTAATCTCTTCATTTACCAACAGTATGTGAACACAGCACCCGGTTTTCCTCAAGCTGTGTAAAAATGTTTTGCTGCCTCCACCTGTTTATATGCCCTAGTTAGCTATTGCAAACATTTATTATTTAAGAAAAAACAACAGCAGAAGGTTTTCAGGAGCACATGTTCCTCAACTCACTCTTTGAGATTGTCACACTCTTCCTCAAGTCTGGCCTTGTCTTTACTGACCACAAGCAACTGTGATTCTCTCTTCTCTAGTCGGTTAGAAAGCTCCTCAATAATCTGGGGAGATTATGAAAAACAAAAATAACAGAATATTAATTCAATGACATTCAATGATCAATTAAAAAAATTGTGTTCAGTAACTTTTTTTTTATTAATATTTTTATTCTGCAAGGGTGCATTTAATTGATCTAGTAATGATACAAAAGATTTCAAATACATGCTGTTCTTTTAACCTTTCTATTCATAAAAAAAATACTGAAAAAATGACAATAATAAGAAATGTTTCTTAAGTTTTAAATCAGCATATCAGAATGAATTATGAAAGATCATGTGTCACTAAAGACTGGAGTAATGATGTTGAAAATTCAGCTTTGCTATAACCGGAAAAGAATACATGTTATTTTAGATTGTAATAATATTTCAAAATGTTACTGCTGGGGTTTTTTTGTGTGTTTGTTTTTTTAAATCAAATAAATGCAGCCTTGGTGAACATAAGATGCCTTCAAAAGCCTTTTATTTATATATATATATATATATATATATATATATATATATATTACCACCAACCCAAATGTTTGAACAGTAGTGTATATTTAATTATGATATTATATTATATTTTTATGTATTATTCCAACCTTCTGGAGATCAAAAATCTGACAGGGTGAATCTTCCAGTTTCTCTCCAGTACTCTGTGATGCTGCAGTTTCGTTCACATCAGTTTTTTGGTTGGTCAGTGTGAGGTCAGATTCAGTTTCCTGTTCGCCCTCCTGCAGCTCATCCGTCTGCTCACAGTTCACTGGCGTTGCACTGCGGCCACTCTCCTCCATCTCATTATCATCCAGTGATTGGTCATTAATAGACTCAGTTATACCGTCCTCTTCCTCCTGTTTAGTCTGTGGCACTGACTGAGGAGGAGCAGGCAAAGGTCCGGCCGTGATGGAGGCTAATGTGCGGTTGCCTGGGATCTCGTCATCAGAATTCACTTCGCTGACACTGCGGCTGTCCAGCGACTGCATGCTAAATGAGTCAATGCGCTCAAAGGCATCAGACGAGGAGCCGCAGCTTTCCGTGAGTTTTGGGTATTCATCCAAACGAGGGAAGTCGCTGCATGTTGAGGCGGAGAGCAGTTGGAAAGACCCTTGCATTAGGTGCAGACCAGCTTTAGCCTCTGCGGTCTCCTGTCTGGAGCTGGCCGAGCTCTCGCTTAGCACACTCTCGTGGTCCAAAACCTCTATGTCGCTGGTGGTGGAAGTACCAGAAGAGAAGGCACTAACAGGGGGAGACGGGGTGTTGCTTTGTCTGTCCTCTGATTTAGCGTCTTTGGATTCTAACAGGATTTCTTTAGAAGGAACAGGCAAGGCGTTATCTGGATTTTTGGTCTCGATGGTCAAAGCAGGTTCAAACACACCAACAGATTCGGCCTCTGAAGAGGATAAAGTTACATTTGTGAGTGTGACATCTGAAGTTAAAGCCAAGCCATCTGACTCTGTCATGTCCTCGCTGGCCTCCTGTTCGGCAGCTTCTTCCGGTGCAACAACCGAAGCAGGAACAACCAGTTCTGATTGTGACTGCTCATCTGTCGAGGATGAATTTTGCTCCAAAAGCTCTGTCCCAGTTGGCTTTATCTCAAAAGTTTCCTGGCTGCTGCATTTACTGAGGTCTGTCTGACCTTGTGAATCACTGACTTCCAGCTCCTTCTCCTGGTCTGCTTTTTCCCGTAGTCTGCGGTTTGACTTGGCAGGTGGCACAGACACCACTTTAGTGTTGCTTACAGTTTGTATCTCCCCATGAGGCAGAAAGGCACTGAAGAAATCCTCCGATTCATCAACAACGGTCCATGTGACGGGCTTAGTAATGGCCTCAGATGATGGAGGGAGAGTCTTGGTATGCTCCTCAGAGGGCGAGTCCCACTGGTTCCTACCCCATCCTGTTGATACCGTCTTGCCTGGTGGATCTGAAGAAAAAAAAATAGCAATAAGAAAATTCAACAAAATGCTGGACAAGGGTATTTTAAAGAAACAGTTCACCTAAGAGTCAAATCACATCTAGCGCTTTATACAATACAGATTGAGGCAAATCAGCTTAAAAGTAATAAACAGGAAAATAACAGCGTTAATGTTGCAAAGTTCATCAGTTAAGAAAAATTCAATATCAGCTACAAGCAGCTTATAGGAATACAGATGTCATCATTATCCAGCTCAATTCAGTACAATTACAATCTCATCCAATAGTATTCAGTGCACCTGAATTAATAATATAACTCAATATTCATTCTTTTAAACCTTTAAGAAATTAAATTTCTGTCAACATTTGATCACCCTCATGTGGTTCCAAGTTCTAACCCATAAGATTTCCGTTCATCATCAGAACACAAATGAAGATATTTTTAATAATCTCTCATCATTTTTGTCTATCCATTTAAAGTTCATGGAACCAAAACTTTCACAGATCAAAAAGTCCTCTCAAGCTCATCCATACTTCCTTGGCATTTAAGAACAAACCTGGATTCTTGCACGTCAAGCAAGTACAAATGAGCTTCTTTTTACCACTTCTGATGAGCTCTATGCATGTGCATTGATCAATGTTTATATCTGAATAAAAGCTTATATTAAATCTGTTCATCATATCACGAGACTTGAATTAAATCACTCAAATCATGGATTACTTTTGGATTACTTTTACCATGGTATTTTATTTATTTTTTTGTACTTTTTGATCTGTAAAATTTTTTGCTTGCATGGACTTTCAATGAATGGACATCAATTATGAGAAAATATATTAATTTGTGTTTCGAAGATGAACAAGAGTCTTGTGGGTTTGGAACAACATGAGTCCGAGTAAACAATGACAGAATTTGCATTTTTGGGTGGACTATCCCTTTAAAAGAAAGAAGCTTCATAACCAAAATAGATCAAGCCTAAAGCTACTGAATCATACATCTCTATTTTATCATTCTAAACATGAGCTAAAGGAAGAAAACCAATCCCACCTTTGAAAACACAATACATCAAAACTGCAAACTCTTATGTATTCTTTAGGGCTTTTTTGTGATATCAGGTGGTTTCCAGTTGGAAACCAAGATCATCTTTGAAGAAGTTTCATGTTGGCCTTGGTTTGTGATTCTGTCTGAATGACTTGGTTGTAATTTTTCAGTTCTGCGGGAAGGTTTCCATGTGCGTTTATAGTTATCTGAGCTATCTGACTGCATATGGATTAAGCAAAATGTATGTAGTCAACTGAAAATATGTATGTGTGTGGCCGATTTGGGACTGTACTGTAGCCTGCAGAAATATATGAAGCATAAATCATTATACATCTAATGCTGTGCAGTTGTCACTGATGATGACACCCTGCCTGGACTGTCAATCATCTATTACTAAATTTACCAGCAAAGGACGGGTTGGTCGTGTCACCCCACTGCTCCTCTTCTTGAATGTCCAGAACTCTGTCGATGGATTTCTGAGCAGTTGTCAGAGCTTGTTTGGCAAAACTCGACAGATGAGACGCGTTGAACCAACTCATATTGCTTTACTTCCACCTGGTTGTATGACGTCTACATAAAACACAACATTATTAAAAGCCTCCCAAATAAGAGCAGGTTTATTCCACACTAACAGCCGTAACAGGTTGGTGTGTTTATGTTAGGCCGCTGTCCACGTTAGCTTGGCGGCTAATTCTGCTCGCAAAACAACTGACAATTCGCTGACAGTCGACATAATTCCATGCTAAAATGAAAGTCGATAATATAAATACATAAACGACGGACTGGACGACATTTTTCTTTGCTTTCGAGCTACTCGGCATTTAGGTTGGACTTCGCATTGTTTTGTTTAGGTTTCCTCTGGCGTGCAGTTCGAGAACTACTTCCCATCCACGTAGCATCAACCTATCCTGTACGTGACGTCGTCAGGGCCACGTCACCGACGTCAAAAGTGCAATTATTTATGTATTTATTTTTTATTGTAGAATTCTATTATATACTATAACTTTATACTATATTGTATATATTACTATAAAATATATTAAGTTATTATTAGATTGGCAGCAGGTACTACCAATGCCTGGGCATTTTGTTTCTTGTTATTCAATAAAAAAGTAAACAAGTATCAGTTGTTATTTGAAACCTCTTTTAAAAAAGAAAACTGACGAAGTCAATTTACTGACTGAGCGTAAAATGACTTTTATTGTCAATGCATAACTGCAAACTAAACACGTCTTCTTTCACACTTAAACAGGTGTCTGTTGCCTTTGTAACGAGGACATTTTTTACAGATTACACTTTAGCGAAAATAAATACTTTACAGAAATTAAAATATTAATCATAATTATTGACTTATGATAGATATATGATAGTAGTTTTAAACATTTAATGGGAAACTAGTGAAGCAGTTTATCAAACAAATAATGTAACTAGCTTAATTCATTTCAGTTTGTAGCTTGCCAAGCAACATTTGCAGTTTTATCCATTGTTGTATGTGGCCATGTGACTTGTCCAAATTAACTTAGACATAGAAATAAACAAAGACACTAAGGTCTGACCTTGTGGATTAGAGTCTGCATTGTATTTCTGTATATCTGTAATCCATGACAATGCCACATAAATCACACAAACGGTACAGTATACAAAATGACTCTTTCTAAAGATTACATTGACAATGCAACATTCTGTATTTGTTTACAAAATATTTTTATTCGGGAGATTCCATCATATTTTGAGCCTTTTTAAATATTTAACCAAGTAATTTTATTCACAAATTGGGTAAAAGGATATTTTAAATTTAAAGTTAGGAAAACATTACAGGACTGGGACTTCATTACTTGTTTAAAATAAGGTTTCCAATTTTAATTCAAAACATGAACGATTTTTTTTCTACAAGACAAGACATTGAACAACATACTGTCAAACTGGTTTGAATGCACAACAACAAAATAAATAGATAAACAGTTTGCATAAAAAAAGAAATCCACAAAAATGACTCCTACGGATATAGCAGTGCAAGACAACGAAACAAATGCCTTCTGTAAGTGTCTTTGATGGACATAGTTGACCAAAAACCCTAAATACAAACCGCAGCTATTCCAACAGAGCATGTGCATGTGATGCTGTTGATGCACTGAAGCATGGAGCTTATAGGCTACATTTCCAAGTCTGCTTCATTTTGATGACGACTGCAATAACCACTGTCCATCAGAATGAAGCATTTGTTCTATGAGATGAAGTTGAGCTTGAAGAGCATTGTCTGAGGAGTGGTGACATCAGCCACTGCCAGCTCTTGGCCATCCACAAGTCCAAGCTCTGCAAACACAAGGGGACATTTAATAGGTTAAACAACACCAATATAATTTTGAAATATTCTTATTAAATAAAGTTACATATACTACATGATGTCACAGAAGACTTTCAATCACCTTTCAGTGTTTTGCTTAGATTTGGTCGAGTTCTCTCTTCAATAGATGCCACAGTCTGAAAATAAAACCAAACAGATTCAAATTTACTTCAAATATAATACAGCTAATGCATAACATGCATGTAAAGAAAATCAAATAAAACTAAATTATGAGCACTCTGTTAGAAATGTTAGAAAACATTTAACCTGTAAATACAGAGTTTTGTTTTTTCCATCCACAGTTGTAGTGATGGCAGGAGACTTCATTTGGCTAGGAGAAAAAAAGACAATGATGAATCATTAAATGATTTATATGCATTTATATGTGTGTGTGTGTGTGTGTGTGTGTGTGTGTGTGTGTGTGTGTGTGTGTGTGTGTGTGTGTGTGTGTGTGTGTGTGTGTGTGTGTGTGTGTGTGTGTGTGTGTGTGTGTGTGTGTGTGTGTGTGTGTGTGTGTGTATTAGGGGTGTAACGGTACATGTATTCATCCCGAAAACAAAGACCACTAGATGCGAAACGGAGCGGAATGCGGAAAATTAAGTATAGGAGGGCTGGGCTTAAGCTTTGAATGTTTACATATAGTTTAAGTGGAGTAAATTGTAAGACTCCTAATGCAAGTTTTAAGTTTTGTTTTTCATTATTCTATTTATTTTATACTTTTATAACACGAGATGCTTCTCAGTATTGTAGCTGATTGTGACCAAATACCTTTTGTTTTTTTATCAGCCCTGCAAAAAAAATATGACCCATGCAAGAGTGCATTCTGTTAACTGCTTAGTGCTTAATACAATATAGGAGGCTGTACTGTACCAACTACCTCAGGGGGGACTAAATGTTACAAACTGTAATTTGCACAACTGTCTGTTCAAAATAAAATAAAATAAACCTAGAATTGCGGATTTGTTGCTTTTTCCGTAACACTTTAGATTAGGGTCCAATTCTAAATATTAACATGTTGCTAATTAGTATGCAAATTGCTAGGATATGTTTATAGTACTTATAAAGCATATAGTAATGCCTAATTCTGCATGACCATATTCTACATCCCTTAATCCTATCCCATTCCTAAACCTAGTACCTAAACAACTACCTTACTAACTATTAATAAGCAGTAATTAGGAGTTTATTGAGGCAAAATGCCGTGACTTCGGTGTACCGTTACACCCTAATAATATATATATATATATATATGCTTGTTTTCTTATTGTAACAGTTTAATAAAATAAAAAAGGAATATGAATTTTAAAAAGTCAGATAATGATGTAAATATGGAGTTGTTTCATTGTTACTATTAGGCTTTATGTTCATCAACAATGATTGAACATTAAGGAACATTGTGACTCACAGAGAGGCGTTCTCAGTCAAGTAGTCCAGAACCTCCTGTAGTTTAGTTGAAGGTGGGAACTGCAGGTCCTGTGGCACCTGACTGCAGGCAGAACAGTTCTCCTACACATGCAACATGGACAACATTTAACCCTCTGGGGACCAGAGTGTTTTTGGGGCCCTTGGGATGTTTTGACATGCACTGACATTTGTGCTTTTTTCAGTTATTTATAAACATGTTAATGGCAAAGGTGTAAATTCACTCTATATAGCACAAACTTGGCTACCATGATGAGTGAGCAACATGTATGTACATGTTTGTATTTTTAATAGAATAATGTTTATGCGTGGTTATTGAAAAAAATAAAAATGAAAGTTGCTGAAATAAGACCACAAAACACATATTATTTCTTCACAAGACTTTTGAAAATTGTATCACATAGCCTAGAATATTTGCTCCAAAACTATGTGAGAATCATCCTGACTACTCATTCAGATAAGTCAATAAAGTCTTTTACATTTTTAATGACGTGTTTTGTTTGAGAAAGCTTTATGCAGGAGGCGTGGTCTCTCATTAATATGTGTGGAATTTCACACCTGAGAAAGACAAAGACCCTCCCCATAATGGCCCTATTAGGTGCTATCAGGCCATATCATTACAGGAGCCTTGCACAAAGAATGAGGAGATTTAAAAAAGAATGGCTTTTAGATTGTTTGGATTTATATAAGGAAAATACAGGGTGCATAAGTCTGGACACTTCTATCACACACCCTTCACCATAAGGACATGGTTTTATTTCAGTTCAAAGTTCAAAGTTAGAGTTGGAAACATCTTGAAAAGAAAATTGTCTTTCTCCATAAATGTCTTAGTTTGATCATACATATTTCAAAGTTGAGGATTCATTATTTTGATATAGCTTGAACAAACACTATAACATCTTAGTTGATTAGTTTATTGACAAAACATACTATATATTATAACATACTAACATATGAGCAGAAACTCCTAAAAAAAGCTTATTTGATGTCTATGTTAGAGTAAAAACTTTATCCAAAACGAGTCAACGAAATGTTATTTAGTCTGTAACAGTGCGTATCTGTGCGTTCATTCATTCATTCATTCACACACACACACACACACACACACAAACATGATTCACATTTAACAGTACGCTATTTTTCCGTTTACAGACACTACGTTATTCTATAACGCGATTAGAACAAAGCACTTGCAAAAAACACTTACTTCTCAGCTGAATCTGTTCATCCTCGCAGTGAAAATAAACGCAGTGGTAAATGTCCCAGGATTGTTCCTCATATAGCCGCGCAAGACGACAGTAGATTAATCTGACTAAAAAATAATGTGTGTTTTCAGAGTTTATGGGCGCTAACGCGTCTCAATGTGTTGCTTCACATATTTGCGTTTGAATAGCGCGTGCTCTCCGTGGGCGTGTCACATTACCAGGGATAATCAGCTGAGAGAACGATAATGAGACGGGCTGACACGTCTCTCTTTTTATATAGATGACATAAACGGAGAATATTAATTTTAGTTTTGAATCGGATCATTTAAAAGTACAAACTCAAACGATTTAAAAGATATATTGCTTATGGCTGGGTGAATAGTATTAGCTGAGTTGTGTTGAAGATTAGAGACGTGCTCCAGAAAAAAAGTTCACGGTGACCGAGAGGCAGAACGCACACCCTGTTTATTTTCTTTATTTTACAAAAGCACAATATTTTATTTCGATTGTATGTGGGCACATAAAAAAGTAGACATTTAACAGATTATTTTCACATATTTCTTAACTCTATATGAACAGAAATGATGGTAGTACTTTAAGTCTATTTTTCTGCTATGTGAAAAAAAACGAGCAAAACGCGCCCGCGCGTTTCTGGTCCCCAGAGGGTTAAGCTATGTTGATTTTTAGAGACATCTAGCATTAATGTCTCTTTTTTTCTAGTTATGTACTTAAAATCATGTTCATATCACTAACCTTTCTCTCAGCCTCAAAGGTGTACGTGTACAGCCCATCAACATCATTGAACACCAGGTAGTTGTTCAAGGGAACATAGGCGCTGTTCGGCAAAGGTAAAAGAACAAAAGAGATGTGAATGAACATTGAAATCAATGCTCTCTACTTGAAAATACACTATTATAATTTACCTTGTGGCAATTTTGAAAACCTCTGTGGCACAAGCAGCTGAAATGTGTAAGAAGAAAAAAAGTTATCTTCAGTCACAACTCAACTTACTGAAAAATATCAAAAACATTTCAAGCATGCCAAGACCAAAGAACATTTGCAATGTCAGCATACCAGCAATAACAGCATTTGTAGAAGCCACAGCAGGAATTATTCTCTTCACAACCCCTGAAACACAGGTGAGGTGGTTCATCAACATTTGATTGGTGCTTGCCTGTGCAAAAGCATGGACCATGATGCCAGGGCATTGGTATGCTGTAGCTAAGATGTTCTAAATGTTTTGTTTTGGTTTTGAAACACATTGTTCAGAATGGTTGTCCCAAGTCAAAAGACTCCCAAAATGAAGCACCTCAAAGTTTATCTGATATTCTAGTCCCTAAATATGGTTTGGTTTCCCAATAAGTGCTCCTGGGACCTATAAAGTTGATTTTTTAAATGTTTTTAAAAGAATTCTCTTATGCTGTGCTGCGTCAATAAATCGCATACTGTCTGAATATGTCCTGCATTTGAATTTGAACTTCGTGATCATTAAAAACATATGTTCTATATAGTATGAATATGGGTAGTATGAATTAAATTCAAACAAACTATATCCGCCATGATGTTACTGTCACATGACCTATACCAGCGTCAGTTGATCACTTCACTGCCATTCATAAATCCGTGGCCTCATGGGATAGTAATAAGTCGGTCAAATGTGTACTTCAGAATCTCACTGGAAGTAGTAGGTCATCCGGGGACTACTGTTTTTCGAATACTATGCATTCTCATATACTACTCTGTTGGCATACTGTTTTTCGCATACTAAATAGTAGGGAAGTATTCGATTTCGGACACAGCGTTATGCTGACCAAGGCTGAATTTATTTTTATTTATATTGCAAAATGTGATTAAAATTTTAAAATACCTGCTTTCTATTTAATTAGGCAAAGCAAAATTTTCAACAGCCATTACTCCAGTCTTCAGTGTCACATGATCCTTCAGAAATCACTCTAATATACTGATCTGCTGCTCAAACATTTCTTACTATTATCAGTTGAAAACAGTTGTGCTGCCTAATATTTTTGTTGGAACCATGATACGTTGTTTTCAGGATTCATTAATCAAGAGAATGTTCAAAATAAAAGAATTGATTTGAAATAGAGATCTTTATAAATGTTTTATATTTGTTATGTTTTATTATAAATGTTTTAAATTGGTTCAAAACGTATATTATAGATAGGACCTTTTTAATATATCAAATACATATAGAATGTTATATGATGTTCCTCAAGGATCAATTCTTGGGCCACTTTTATTTTCATTATACATGCTCCCTTTGGGAAAAATAATTCAGAAATATTACATGAATTATAAATTTAATGCTGATGATATAGAAGCATATATTTCACTTTATTTCAGAGACACTGTTATATTAGAGAGGTTGTCTGACTGTCTGTCCAGCATTGTAAAATGGATGAACAAATTTTTTTTTTAAGTTGAACAAAGACTAAACTGAAATTCTTATTGTGGGCCCAATAATAATGAGAGGGAGAGGATTGAAGCTGGTTTGGACACCTTTGTCTTACAACCTAAGAAAGGAATTGTTACCAAATAAAGTGAAAGAGGCTACAAGCATTCATATTTTTAAAAGGCACATTAAGACAAAGTTCTTAAAAATTGTGAGAAAGATTCTGTCTACAAACGAGAGGATTTCACGAAATGCCTGATAACGGCCCACTGAGCAGGCCTGTGTCACTCACCCTGAGTGAGTCTGTAAGTCACCCCAGTGATGTTGAACTCTGCTGCTCTCTCCAAAGAGTTCTGGTAGACCCACTGGATGTGCTTTGGGTCATCACCATCTAGCACCACACCATCTGAGGAAAATACATTAAAAATCTGAAATATTAGCAGGCTGCCAAGCAGCAGTATAACCAAAATATCAGTCTGCGGTTGTACGCCAAGTTCCATGTAGATACCGTAAATGAATGTACCTCCAAAAGGCTTGTCTTTGGGCCAAAGCAGCATGCGGACATATTCAACACAATGTTCAGGTAACCGTGGCATAGAGGCTATAGTGCACATTGGGAAGTTTATCTGTGTAGGACAAAAAAAAAAAATGAGTATGACAAAAAAAGGCTTTTAAAAATTCAACTTAAAGGGGTCATATAATGGTACATGCACTTTTACAAGTTGATTGTACTGAAATGTGTGTTGGCAGTGCCTGTACACAACCATCATAAAATGATAAAAATCCATCCAGTGTTTTTGTTTTAATCTCCTTATATGTTTTCCCCTGTCTCAAATCAAGCCGTTCGACCTTGTGACGTCACACGCTCGGAAGCCCCTCCCACGATTCTTGATTGACAGCAACATTTCAACACAGACCCGCCCTCGCTCGTGAGGGAGCTGTCAATCATAGTCTGCGCGGACCGGCGCGGTCATTGTTGATATGCTGGAGCACTGTCTATGAGCAGAATGGCGCTTAAGCGATTGTGGTGTTCTGTTCTTGGGTGTAATAACAAACACAGCAGTCATTTTAATGTTCCTAAATCCGAACCGCTGAAGACGCAGTGGCTGAGTTTGTTTTCGAAGGGAATATTCCCCACGAGCAACGTCAATGCTTTCATGTTTGCGTGAATCATTTCACACACCAGACTGCTTTATAAACGAGGGTCAGTATAAAGCTGGTTTTGCTAAGAAGCTGCTCCTGAATAAAGGATCGGTACCAGCTATTCGTGTTCCTGCTGAACCTCTAGAACAACTGAAGTGAGTGTAACGTTTTATTAAACTTTATATTAATATTTATATTAATCTTTGCAAATCGCTAGCTGCACGCTTCACAATGAATGCGTCTAAGGTTTACACTCAGGGTACATTACGGCATGTTTTCTATGTATGATGTTCTCAATATAATTCATAGTCCCACATTTATACTGAACAGCGCGTTATGGTTATTGTGTTATTGTGTTACAAACGGTGTACGCGCAGAACAGAGAGGCGGAGTCAGCAAAGCTCATTATCATTTAAAGTCATATGCACTGAAACGGCGTGCTGAAAACAGAGCTGTTTTTGACCAAGTAAAATAAGTGTTTTCTTACAATACTAATGAGAATTTGTAATTAAAGTATGTTACAAACTTTAAATTTAGACCCTAAAGAATCATACTAGCTTGTACAAAAATGGCATTATATGACCCCTTTAACACAAAATCCCAGTATGCACCTGTGGGGGGTAAAGCTCCAGGGTGCAATCAATGCAAGCTGTCATGCCCGGAAGAATGACTCGGGCATTGCCTTTGAAGCCCTCTGTGCCACCATCTATTAGAGGAATAATGGAGCTGGGATCCAGGACACCATCTTCATAAATCAGCAGGGATAACTGAAAAAGAGAAAGCCAAATGAACAAAAACATTTCTCACAATATAGAAACACTTTATTTACATGACATAAAGAAGACTTTATGTCTATAAATTTGTGTGTACAGATTGTTGAATGTTTCAGAAAATAAATACATACCAGCATGCCATTCATCCATCTTCTGGCAACAACAGAGTCCAGGCCACATACTACTATGTGAAATTCTATGCAGTAACAGAGACACAGTAACATTACTCAGATTTCAAGATTTTTTAAAAACTGACATAATTAGTCTCACACTGCAGAACAACAGCATCACATTTTGTATAGTGCTAGAAAGGTTACGACATTTTAGATGAATGTAAAACAGTTAGGTGGTAATTACGCTTGTAAAATGTCTCATCCAAGTCCTGGATTTTCTTAAAATGTCTGCATTACTGATAAAGGAAAATGGAAATATTTTGACATACATCAATATAACATATACATATAGTTTGGGCTCTTGAAAAGTTTGGGCTCAATCAGATTTTTTAAATGTTTTTGAAGTCTCTTATGCTCACCACAGGCTACAGCTGCATTTATTTGATCCAACATTTAAAATATTATTACAGTCTAAAATAACTGTTTTCTATTTTAAAATGTAATTTATTCCTGTGACGGCAGAACTGAATTTTTAGCATCATTACTCCAGTCTTCAGTGTCATACAATATCTTTTTAGGATTCTTTGACAAATAGAACGTTGAAAAGAGCAGGATTTATTTGTAATAGAAATCTTTTGTAACATTATAAATGTGTTTTTCGATCAATTTAATGCATCCTTCCTGAATTAAAGTATTAATTTATTTTATAAATTATAATAATAATAATAATAATAATCTTACTGACCCAAAACGTTTGATTAGTAATAGGGCTGGGCGATATGGCCTAAAAAAAAAAATCCCTGATTTTTTCACAAAAAATCCGATTTACGATTTATATCGATTTCTTTCTCTCCCTACTTAAAATCAATCTGTAGATGACAAAGAAATTGTTCAAAACAAGTTTTAACTTTATTTTGTTTTGATATTCCCTTCTGGGATATTATCTGGATTAAAGTGCAATCAGGAACAACAAGTCAAAAAGACAGGGCAGGCCCTGTCATTGTAAATAGTGTAAATGTAACATAACATAAAATGGGGGAATTGGGATTGGGGGGATGTGTAAAAAAAAAAAAAAAAAAAAACTTGCATCACATGTTTATTGTGATTGTCAAATTATTTGGTAACTAAACATAATTTTATCAAGTTTATTAACTATGTAAACACAATGTTTACATGGTACAAAGACTGGTATGCTACTGTTTTTATTATTGCTTAACACAAATTTCACAATTTCAATTCAATTCTTGTGATTTGATTCGGATACTGATTCAAATCAATTCCTTTGGGTAAATATTAGGTACAGTAAATAGCCTACCTTAATGTGTTATGTTAATTGTTCTCCAAAAATAAATCACCTAATGCTGTAAACATACAGAGAGACCCTGTCAGGTGGTATTATTAAAGGTTAAAACTAACTCAAATTAAATATAATTTGTGTTTTTATAATAACAAACAACGTTATAATATTTTAATGAAATAGGTAAAAATATAATAAATGTGTAATATAGTTATCATATTTAGCAAAATACTCCTCTCTATAGCAATTATTTTAAGTCCAACTAACATGCGTGGTATGGGTAATTAAAAGGCATTCCTGAGGTAAATGTAACGTTAAGTGACATATGTTGTTCTCCAGCTGTTTTATGGACATCTTTCCGCGGTTGAAAAACACTGATCGATCGATTTTATTACATTTCGGTAAGTTAGTAGTGAAGAGTAACAGATGATCGGTTCACGGGCCGCTTGAACTGAGATCTGTCAGCGATCTTTCACGTCACATTTACAAGCGCCAAAAACGGTGTTTATTGTTTGAATTTCGTAATAAAATTGACAGAATCTGAGAGCTGAGAATCTGTTTCATATCAATAGTAACCTGCTCTGTCTAGTCTGTCGGTGTCAGTGTGCTCTTTGCCTCGCGATTTTTCTCTGCGTGAGAAAATGCATGTGTGCGTGAGAGCGTGTAAAAAGTGACAATTGCGTCTCTCACAGTGAACTCGTGAGAGTTGGCTGCCCTGCAGATTCAGGTTGTAAATGTTTTCGGCGGGTGTGCTTCTGCTGCCGCGGTCTTGTTCATTTGCCATGTTGTTTGTGTATCTCTATCATGGCAAGCGCTGAGCCCGGTCGGAACTACGGGAGCCCAGATGGGCGCGTCAGCGGTTGTTAAAGAGAAAACCGATTTTCATTAAAAAAATCGTCGTAAACTACACATTCGAGTTAATCGATAAAATCGATTTATCGCCCAGCCCTAATTAGTAATGTATCAAACAATAATTATATTAGGACAAGGATACGGGACAACATTGCACCCAGGGATCCTGTCATTTACAAAGTCTGCTGCAACCTCTGCCTTTGGTCGGCCCACATCTTTTGGTCTATAGATACAACAGAAAACAGTTTACATTACAGAAAAAGAATAAGAAATGTTTTAAAAAGATATCTATCAGCTGACTAAGATTAACCTGAAGAGGAACTGTCTGTTGAGGTTGGAAACATCAATGGTGTCCATGTCCACCACATGAATGTGTCGAAAACCTGACAAAGCCTGGGTGATGAAATTGTATATGAGCATAAGACAAAAAAAAAAAAAACATTAGCAAGTAGCCTCTTTGCAACTAGAGTATTGTAGCTGTCATTCAAGAATAGGAACAAACAAGAATCTGTCTAAACAAATGCAGCACAACAAGGACCGTACCAGATCTTTGAGCAGCTCACATCCAAGTCCGCCAGCTCCAATAACCAGAATTTTGCATGTGTCTAACAGAAACTGGAGAGACTGGAAGATGTGCGCATTTTATGGAAAGAGAAGAGAGTAGAGTAACATTCAACAAACTGACTGATCTTGGATCAGACGCTCATGTAGCTAAATGGCTCAAAAACTATAGTCACATTGGTTCTAAACCTTTTTGACTCAATTCTCCACAGCAATGTTTGATAAATAATGGCCCCATGACTCTTCCAGTTGTTTGAAATTTACTTGATAAACATTTTTAAATGAAAAATTATGCTCTCATAATCTTTCAATCAAAATAAATTCCATTCCCTCTTGAAGTGACATATCTCTTTTCTGATGACATATTTTTAGATGACATAGACCACGGTGTGCATAATCAGTGTAGTAATTATGAACCATAAGTAACCAGCAGTTATTATGTACTCCAGGCAGAGAAAAACTTTATTAATTGTTCTGATAATATGCATTCACAGCTGTGCTTCTCTCCCTAAAAGTGGGCATAGATTTATACATTTGTAAAAGGGGTGTGGAATGTATATGTTATGTTATTATTTTCATCTTACCTCAGTGCTGGGTTCAAAATCCGGATGAGTGAAGGGTCCAGCTCTCTCTAAGAACTTTTTGACATGGTCCCATCTTCCCTGCCAGCCACTGCTATCCCCATTCCCTCCATCCACAACCATTCTGTGAAAAAATATAAAGATTTAACTACATACCACACACATCACCAAGATTATTAAATAATTATAAAACGCATTCACACATAACATAATCTACAATACATTATATATACAACAATTAATTGAGTTGGTTTGGATGGCACTGACTTTATGTAAGTTTCATAATTAATACAAAGAAGGTGTCTTATAAATTATATATTAAGAAAGAACATTATGGCACGTGTGCAAACAGCAGTGTTTGGAGGTTTTGCAAGCTTTCAGCTAGGTTTCAGACAGATTATATTTATTTACAGTATATGCGGAGAGCTCTTCAAAATAATGTCTGAACAGTATCTGGATTATAGATAAAGCTAACTTTAAGAATTAACACCTCCCAAAGCAAACCTGCTGGATGCCACATCTAAATTCTAATCTTTCATTTCACTAACTTCTCATTCAGCTCCTCTATTCTCCTTCTTTTCTTCTCCCTAAAAAGAGAGAATAAAAGAAGGTTCATTCATGCTCTGCTACCCGCAAGTTAACGTTCTTGCGTCCTGTTGATTGAACTACAAGCACTGTTACGAGGGATTTATGAGCAGTTGTGTGTAAAAATTCACTTACGGCTCCTCTCCTTCCGCCATATTGTCATACAGATTCAAGTGAAATGCGCAGCCAGAAAAAACTGACGCACATTGTTATTTTCAACATAAAAGTCTCGAGTCTTTCATTCCAGCCTTTTGTCAGATAATTCAAATAATCTAGTAACACGTATTTTAATGTGGAAAAAAAAGATTACGGAACAAATGAGGCAGTTTTTTTTAACAGTTCAAAAAGACGCATTACCGGTTTGAATCTGGTTTGAATCCATGGTTTGAATCAGTCTGACGAATCCTGAACTGAATCCATCATCAGAGCGCAGCGATCAACATCCGCTCTGGAAGGAAGCCTATTCCACCATATAAGAAAAAAAAATTGCTTTGGTGAATTAAAATATGGCATAATTATGGGATAAAACGTCCGAAATTATAAGTCATAATTATGACACTTGTCCCGGTTTTACAGACAAGAATAGTCCCAGACTAAAATGCAGGAGCTGTTTTAAAAGCACTGGCAAATAGGCTATCTTAAAATATGTCTGTGCCATTGTTTTGTCTCAAGAAGCATAATGTTTTTCTTCTAAGGCACGTTTATAAAAGCTACTTAGTTCTGTTAATTACTTATCCTCATGCCGTTCCAAACCCTGAAGAATTTTGTTCATTTTCGGAACACAAATGAAGATATTTTTTATGAAATCTGACAGCTTTCTGTCCCTCCATTGACAGCTACACAACTACCACTTTGACACTAAGTTCATAAAGAGATCATAAAACTAACTAATCCATATGAATTGAGTGGTACAGTCCAAATTTTCTGAAACACGATCGCTTTATATGATAAACAGATTGAATTAAGTATTTTATTCACATATAAACATTATTCAGCGAGCATAAACAAGCTCAACCAAACATGCCTGACGCACGAGAAGAATCCTCATTGCAAACCTCTTGCGGAAGCTCAAACGTGCTGCGTAACATGAGAATGAACCTTGGTTCTCACACGTCAAGCAAACATACTTGAGCTTCCGTTTACCACATGTCTGAGTTGATGAATGTTTGTATGTGAAAAAAAGCCTAAATTCAATCTGTTCATTATATAAAGCGGTCGAGTCTCTTCCGAAAATTTGGACTAAGCTCAATTCATATGGATTAGTTTTACGATCTCTTTATGAACTTTTTGAAGTGTCAAAGTGGTAGTTGGGTACTTGCGTAGCTGTCAATGGAGGGACAGAAAGCTCTCAGATTTCATAAAAAATATCTTCATTTGTGTTCCAAAGATGAATGAAAGTCTTACGGGTTTGGAACGGCATGAGGGTGAGTAATTAATGACAGAATTTTCATTTTTGGATGAACGATTCCTTTAAGTGTCCTAATTGAACTAAGGCCAAATCACCTAAGCCCTGACTGTGAAACTGGGCCATTAAGTCATAATTATGAGATTTAAAAGTCAAATTTATGACGTACTAAGTTAATTTTGACATTTTATGTTATAATTATGACCAGTGTTTGGAAAAGTTACTTTTAAAAGTAATGCATTACAATATTGCATTATTCCCTAAAAAAGTAACTAATTTCACTATAGTTACTTTTTATGGAAAGTAATGTGCTAAAATACTTTTGCATTGCCTTTTCCCATCAGGGCTGAGCTTGCTTGAATGTCAGATAAAAGAACAAGTTCTATATTAGCCAAATTTAAAAGGCCCTTTCACACCAAAAATGAAACGAATAAGCTTCGGGCTGAAGGAAATGCAAATTCACGTATGTACAGTAAAAAGACTACAAAACTCAAACAGAAGTTTCAGCTGTGCTGCCATTCTGGATCGCAGAAGAATAAGATTAAAAAGAAAGTTCAACACTTTTTTCAACAATAAAAAAGAAACACAAATGTGGTTTAACAAAAGATCATCGAAAGTCAACAGCAAAGACATTGGTTAATAAAGTTAGATTAAATACATAAAGCATATTTGAATTGTGTAACATGTTTAATTATTGCAGGTTTGCATAATAGTTTGCATTTCAGTGTTTTTTTTTTATTCATTTTGTGCAAGTGAGATGAGTAAACGCATGCGGACATTTAGTCTCGAACTACAATAACCATCATGTTTACACAGTGCACACAATGTCTCTGCACTTACTCCCAATTTATCTGAGGATGGGAGAGCTGTCAGTCAAAAAACTGGAAAAACAAAGTAACTTTCATTACTTATTTGAAAAAACTAACTCAGATATTTAGTAGGAAATTTGTAATACGTTACTTTAGTAGTTACTTGTAAAAAAGTAATCTGATTATATAACTTGCCTTACTCGTAATGCATTACCCCCAAAACTGTTTAAAACATAAAAAGTCGAAATTATGACATACTACATCATAATTATGAAGTACCATAATTATGTCATAATTATGACATACCAAGTTATAATTAGGAGATAAAAAGTGATGTGCTTGTATGTAAATTTTATCATTAAAAATGTATAGTAAAAAAAAAGTATTATGGAGTAAAAGGAGTATGAGGACAACTGTAATTCTCTAGTCATATAATTGGCCTATAGGCAGAGACTGTGTATATAATAGTGCGTGACATTAAAATGTATTTTTACAACTGACGTGTCAGTAAGCAAAAAAGAAAATTGATTATGTCTCAAACTTATTTTAGCATTTCCTTTAGTCAAGTAGAGACTTTTTAAACACATACATAGCTGCAGACAAGCACACAACATAACATGTGGTGCAAAGAAATTCTGTGTTTCTTGTTTTATTATAAAGAACCCAAGAGTGTCCCTAATTTTCCTCTGTTGAAGTTGGCAAGACTATTGAAAAGAAGAAAGTTACATTATAAGATGATATGCCTATCAAATGTCATCATATGGATCAAAATATAACATGCTTGTAAATTTACTAGTATGAAAAATGAGGGGTGTTTGAACATTTTAAATTAAAGTTCATTATCCTGCACACATTCAAAGACTTTATTTTTAATTTATTTATTCATTTCTTTTTGTTATGTTATATCCTGAATTTTATTAGTGTGTTTGGTGTGTGGAAAAAAGCCCTTAGGTTTTCCTGGAATGATGTTGTGTGATTAAATGTATTCTGTGTCAAATAAAGGCCTAAGGACTGACAGCATGTCCAGTATTGCCAAGACATCTGTGATGGTTTCTGACAAATATGTAACTGAAATATAGTTCCTTTATCAGCTTGTTTCTAAATAAATATATACACAAATGCTTTCTGAAGAAAATTACACTTTTAGGGACATAGTATTACTCAGAATACTGGTTTTGATATTTTCTTTTTTTTTCTCAATGTTGTGGTGATATTAGTATGTATGTGGAGTTGGAGCTCCATGAAAACTTGGAAGCACAGAAAGATATAGAAACATTTTGGTTTACTAAAAAGAGATATATTTACAGATATTTAAAAATAAAAATGTACACAAAGTAGTCCTTGTTTATTTGCACAAATGCGCATCTCTTCATATGACAATAACAAAAGCAGAAAGGAAGCAGGAAGATTTGCGACTTCATGGCTAATTCATCCACGACTTTGCAAAAACGAACCCCCTAAAATGCACCGGTGTCCTTCCAAAGTGTCCTCACACCTGAAAAGGATATTCTTGCAAGTAAAGCAACAACGGCCGTGGCAGCGGCAGCTGTGTATGGCAATCAGTGTGTCTGTTTATAGTGAGGCGTGTGAGGTGCTGTAATGTTGGAAAATCCTGAGGCCTGTGGAGAGGCTTCTTGAGCTTCAGCAGAATGCCTTTGTCCTTTGACACCATGCAATGTTCTTCTGCCATCCTATCCTTCTCTTGACTCGTGGATGCATAGTGCTGCACAAGACTAGGAAGAGCAGAAAAGGACAACAGGCAAGATCGTGCAGGAAAACTGGAATCGAGACGGAATCGGCCACTGTCGTATTCTACGCGGACATTAGTAGGGCCTCTCTGGGTCTTCACGGAGAGGGTAAAGAGGTAGAGTGGATGGCTGCTGTCACGCACAAGGAAAGTACCTTCTGGAGCTCCAATGAGGGCATCCCTTGCCTCACTGGCTGTCATACCACCCCAGTACCATCCTAAAACATAAAGAAACTATTTATTAATATGACACACACTACTGTTTGGGGTCAGTAAGATGGAGCCCCTAAGCAAGAGGACATGGTGTGAGATGGGAGGATAAATAAATGATTTATTTTATTTATTAATAATTTATCAGAACAGAGATAAACTGTTGCTGTATACACGTATATAATATAAAATATAAAAAGATCATGATCCTTTGAGACTCTGTCCATTGTTTTGTTTTGTCATGCTTGTTCTAAATCAGAATCTGATTAGGTTTTTATTGGCCAGTTATGATGGAAGGAATTTGACCTGACAGTTGCTGACACTGGACAGATGCAATAAGAATTATAATATATATATATATATATATATATATATCAAATATAAACAAAATTGATTGATTGTTCTCTTTATATATATATTTTGTGCCTTGTCTTTGATATATTTTGTAAAATATTAGCTATAGCTAGTGTCTGCTGGTCTCTTTTTTAAGACTATAGCCGTACCTGAAGTGTGTAGGTGCTGAAAGGTGGTGGTGATGAAACGCAGGTCCTCAGCCGGGGCCCATGGGCCCTGCTTGGGACTGCTGGATTTGTTTAACTTCTGATTCGTCCCTCTCATGTTGAGCTCTTGTACCCCTTGCAACCATTCCTGAAGGTTTCTTTATATGGAAGAAAAAACACATCTTGATATGTAACCAACAGATTTTTTTTTCTACATGTCAAAATGACGTGAGGTGAGATAGGAGAGCTAAAAGTTCAAAGGTTAAAAATTGCTGTGCTTCTCTTTCTATATCAGTCTTTTGTCATTTAAAATTTCAACTGAACTCAAAGAATGAATAAACAAAGGAAGTACAGTGTACTTCAATGAGTCAGAATCTGCATGTCCTTTCTTGAGAAAATAAATATCATGACATAAGTCAGCATTTAAAACAGATCTCTTTTCTGAGAAAACCGACTAGGTGACATTTAGAAAAGGAGGTAAATGTGGCTTTCCATGTAAATGAGAACAACATAATTTAAAAAAAGAGCTTTTATAACTGGTTGTTTCTCAAAATATTGAGTTGTTTTCTTTTATAGACACTAGTTGTGATATACGAAATGTAAAATATAATCACAGGCATGTTATTAAATCTTTCAAATATTATAAATCAGGTTAAAATTCAAGAATGCTGGTGTTAGAAATAAAATAAAAGCTGAATGTCCTTGACTCTCGACTCTCACATCTACAGTGTCCGTCAATATACGCGTTGTCATTCATAACCGACAAGAACCGCCCACTCAGGCTAGTGCTTCTGACTGACATGTAAACTGGCCAACCATCGATGAGAAGTTCAGCGTCTGTACGATCCAGCCAATGAAATTAGATATTTTGGAGCCAGGCGGTTTGTTGATGTGTAAGTTAGTAAAATGGATATATTAAAATTCTTCAAAAAAAAAAAGGAAGTAAAACACCCCCAGCCAGCACTAAAACAAGATACAACAGCTTCAGCAGGTATCTGTAACTTTTAATCATAGTATTATTTACATTTACATTTAGTCATTTAGCAGACGCTTTTATCCAAAGCGACTTACAACTGAGGACCTAAAGCAAGCGAGTCATCGTGAAAATGCAAAAAAAAAAACGACGCAAGAAGTGCTCAAAATACCGGACATTGTTCGGAGTAGCATAAGCCAGACAAGCGAGGATTTAAAAGGAAAAGGATTTAAATTATTATTATTTTTTTTAAATTATATTTCTTATTCGGTTTTAAATTGTGTCTGATTTACATTTTGATCGTCTAACAGTTAATGGTTGCGCAGCACAGTCTATAGGACACACGCGAGCATTTTAGAGCGTTATATGTTTGGTTAGCCTGCAGGTGTCAGGGCAACAATTCAATAAAAAAAGATAATAAAAGTAAAGAAAATATTTCGCTAACGAAAATGGTTTCAAACAAAATGAATTTGCTTGTAAATGATTCACTGACCCCGCCATTCAAAAAACATTTCTTACTTTTTTTCTAAATGAATCATCTGTTTTGAACGAATCAATTGAATAAACCGACTCACTAATTAAGGCAGTGGCTTGCCACCATCTAGTGGCAAAGTACCATTCTAATTTTTTCAATATTTCATATTTCTGTATTCCAAATGATATTTGATACATTAGTTTCATAATATTATTTATGCAAATTGTAAGTGCTGTGTAAAATTTAATTTTAAAAAGCCAGAAAAATGTACCTTGTTAAATATATATATATATATATATATATATATATATATATATATATATATATATATATATATATATATATTTAAAACATTTTATTTAAAGTTTATTCCTTGTATCCTGACACATGGCTTTCTCTGGGCTAAGCCCCGGATATCCACTCACCCTAGAACCGCCCCTGGGTCAGAGAAATGTATACGTTTACATTTAAAATGCATATGCGTTGTGTTTAAATTTGTTTAATTTACTGCTAAAGTGTTAACTAAACAAAATGCTGTTCCATAAAACGACAGATTAATAAATTTTATGTTAATAATAAAATATAATCACCGACATGTTATTAAGTCTATAAAATGTTATAAATAAAATCAAAATTCTAGAATGCTGGTGTTAGAAAATAGGAGAACCACAATTTAAACCATTTTCAAAAATATATTAAAAAAAATATTTCATTAATAACATTAAATAAAAACTGTTTTTTTTGTTCATGTATACATTTAAATGTATACGGTATGTACTTAAATTTATGTTTAAAAAAGCACTTAGATGAGAGCAAATTGTTTAATTTCGAAAATTTTAACAGGATGTGTTCAACAAGATCGAAACAAATTTATTATTGCGTAGCTATGTAGCAACTCCTCAGTTCATCAAAAACTAATGAACCTATCAAACAGGTCTGGCCACTTCACAGTATAAGACACTAAAAAGATTTTCAACAAGACAAATAGACAGATTTCTTACCTTTTTCTGCATAAAATCGTCACCTTCGGTAGGCTACGTCACGAACAGACTGGAAGATGACAGTTTGAAGATTACAGGCTGTAAAATTTACGCGAATATAAGTCTGGTCCTGTGCCAAAGCTGCTGACATTGTTCCAGGCCAATGCGCCAACAAAGCGCCGAAACCCGAGTGAATCTCGGTAAAACATTTTACAAAAAGAATATTGTTGTCTAACTCGAACGAGCCTTCTTTGCCAACTATTTTCCAGGGAATCGAAATGAGGACGAAATTGACGAAAAATAACAAAACAGCTTAGCAGTAATCTAAATAAGAGTGAAAGGTCGTTTGGCTTGGTGGATTATTATTTTCCTGAAAAAAGAGCAGTATGAAACGCCTTTGGTCGAATTATGAGTGTTCACGCGCGTTCTAGGAATCTCATTCCAAGAACTGCGCTCGCGCTGCATCTCAGCGCTCGCGGCCTCATCGTGCGCTGCGTTTCTATTGGCTGCAGCGTGCCGTTGACGAAGCGCCCGGGCCGGTTTCAGCTGCGGATGACTTTCCCAGTAGCCTACAGACTTTCCAGGAATGCTGAAACTGACCTCTGCGCCAGCAGCATGGACTGAGAGATCTGTGAGCTATAGATCTCTGGGGCTGTGATGGGAGTGGGAGGTGACTGCAAGGTAGGCTACGCATAGTATAATTCCTGAAAATGTGTTTTGCCAGAATGTTAGTCATATAGTTAATAACATCTAACATCCTGCATGGTAACTGGTCAGGCCCTGGATCAGCATTAACCCTTTAATAGACACAGGCCTACCCAGAAAACAAAAACAATGGGAAAAGGTTTATAATAAATAATAAATGAAATGATATTAATAAAATAAATAATAAATTCAAAATGTATAATGTATAATGTGCTTCTACTAAACTAATAAGGCCTATCTATATCTAGGGCTACTAGAATTTATTCTTTTATTTATTCCATTATATCAGGTGAAAATGGTATTTTTTTAAACTGCAGTCATAACTAATGATTTTTGATTACCTGAAAGGTAGGCTACAGATATCTTAATAAGGTTTAGTTAAATAAAAATAAAAAATCCAACAGTCAAAATGTGCTTTACCAAATGTTAACTAAACAAAATGCTGTTCCAACGTAAAACAAAAACTGAGATTTAATAAGACAGATTAATAGATTTTATTTCAATTATAACATAAAAATCATCACCTAAACAACACATTTATGTGGCCTTGAAAACCGTGTGAGAATGAGTTTCAGAGTGAAAGAAGACTTGTTAAAATAAAAAATGATTTTTAGAAACAGGCTACAGATCATTGAGGGTGAAATTAAACATGTGTATCTGGTGTCATTTTACATTTGTTGACTGTAAAAATCTAGCTCTCATCTCCATTCTCTCCCGCTCCTCTGATTAGACGCTTGTTCCCTCGTTTCCCTGTAGGGCCCTTTGGCTTGGTGAAGGCTTGTTTCAGAGCATGCTGCATCGGGTACACCTCTTCATATAGGAAATCCTCCGTCAGCCCCTCTCCACTATCAATCTCCATCTACACACATGACACATAAATATATTAACTGAAATGTGCATGAATATATGCATTTGATTAGATTAGATTTGATTAATACTTCTATTCAGCAAGGATGCATTCAATTGAGTGCACAAAAGGGACAGTAAAGACATTTATAATGTTACAAAAGATATCTATTACAAATAAATGCTGTTCTTTTGAACTTTATTGATCAAAGAATCCTGAAAATTATGTATCATGGTTTAAAAAATTAAGCAGCAAAACCGTATTTAACATTGAAAATAATAACAAATGTTTCATGAGCACCAAATCAAAATAGAATGATTTTGAACAGTATGTCTTTTTATTGCATATATTCACTAATGTAGGTTTTACTTTTAAAATGTAATGTATGTAGCCAACAACATAAACATAAGCGGTCACATTTCTTAATAATTTAAAAGTAACATTTTCTAAGCTTTTAAAAATTTACTGATGAAAGGATATACACTCACCGGCCACTTTATTAGGTACACCTGTCCAACTGCTCGTTAACACTTAATTTCTAAGCAGCCAATCACATGGCGGCAACTCAGTGCATTTAGGCATGTAGACATGGTCAAGACAATCTCCTGCAGTTCAAACCGAGCATCAGTATGGGGATGAAAGGTGATTTGAGTGACTTTGAACGTGGCATGATTGTTGGTGCCAGAAGGGCTGGTCTGAGTATTTCAGAAACTGCTAATCTACTGGGATTTTCACGCACAACCATCTCTAGGGTTTACAGAGAATGGTCCGAAAAATAAAAAACATCCAGTGAGCGGCAGTTCTGTGGGCGGAAATGCCTTGTTGATGCCAGAGGTCAGAGGAGAATGGCCAGACTGGTTCGAGCTGATAGAAGGGCAACAGTGACTGAAATGACCACTCGTTACAACCGAGGTATGCAGCAAAGCATTTGTGAAGCCACAACACGCACAACCTTGAGGCGGATGGGCTACAACAGCAGGAGACTCCACCGGGTACCACTCATCTCCACTACAAATAGGAAAAAGAGGCTACAATTTGCAAGAGCTCACCAAAATTGAACAGTTGAAGACTGGAAAAATGTTGCCTGGTCTGATGAGTCTCGATTTCTGTTGAGACATTCAGATGTTAGAGTCAGAATTTGGCGTAAACAGAATGAGAACATGGAACCATCATGCCTTGTTACCACTGTGCAGGCTGGTGGTGGTGGTGTAATGGTGTGGGGGATGTTTTCCTGGCACACTTTAGGCCCCTTAGTGCCAATTGGGCATCGTATAAATGCCACGGCCTACCTGAGCATTGTTTCTGACCATGTCCATCCCTTTATGGCCACCATGTACCCATCCTCTGATGGCTACTTCCACCATGTCACAAAGCTCTAATCATTTCAAATTGGTTTCTTGAACATGACAATGAGTTCACTGTACTAAAATGGCCTCCACAGTCACCAGATCTCAACCCAATAGAGCATCTTTGGGATGTGGTGGAACGGGAGATTCGCATCATGGATGTGCAGCCGACAAATCTGCGGCAACTGTGTGATGCCATCATGTCAATATGGACCAAACTCCCTGAGGAATGCTTCCAGCACCTTGTTGAATCTATGCCACGAAGAATTGAGGCAGTTCTGAAGGCAAAAGGGGGTCCAACCCGTTTCTAGCATGGGGTACCTAATAAAGTGGCCGGTGAGTGTATTCTTAGTTGAATATAGACGGATCATTGAATATGGATGAATGACCACAGTTGTGGCCAATTGCAATTTCTTAATAAAAGTTAAGTTCGAGGGACTGTGATTTTAGTTATATATTTTTAATAGATAGATAGATAGATAGATAGATAGATAGATAGATAGATAGATAGATAGATAGATAGATAGATAGATAGATAGATAGATAGATAGATAGATGACAGACGGACGGACGGACGGACGGACATGATGACCAGTCCAGTAAAACATGTACTTTGTACTTTATAGGCCTACTCTTCTACTCGGTTCAAAGCTTCTACTCAGCTAACTTGAAAAACATACTGTACAGTTTTAGGACCAGTTGTTGTTGTCAGTGTACCTTTTTGGCGATCTCTATGTGATAGTCTCTCTCTACCTCATCCAGCAGTCGATTCTTACAGCTGGAGTAAAGCATCCTTTCTTTGATGCTACAACTATACCCGGGCATGGAGTAGATGAAAACTGGTCCACATATTCAAGCACAAACATGACATTAGCTTTGTAGAAACATTACTAATCATAAGAAGCCAACTCAGCTTAATTGTCAGAAAAAAAAGTTGAATTAATATCTTGACACTAACCTACAGCTTCCAGTGCCTGTCCTTGATGGGTGTGTTTGTACAGGAAGAAGTGGTATCGTGGGGCATCAGTGGGGATTCTGCTTGGCAGCTCTTTGGTCTCTGTAGGACTAGTGTGGACCAGCTCAATTGTCTCTCGTTCGGTGTCCAGTCTCTTAAAGATGATACAGTAAAAAAAGTGCTTTGTGATTTACACAATAAATTACATTTTAAAATATATTAAAACAGAAAACCGCTATTTTAGATTGTAATAATATTTCAAAATATTACTGTATTTTTGCTCAAATAAATGCGGCCTCGTTGAGCATAAGAGACTTTTATTTAAAAACATTTAAACAATCTTACCGACCCCAAACTTTTGAATGCTAGTATACGCTTACTGCATTATGTATATTTTGAATTTAGGTGTATTGTTTCCTAATGTATTCCAAGATGTAATATTATGCAGAGAATCCTGTTTTTAAAATCCGCAAAATAAACAGCCTATTCAATGCCAGCATTATGAAAAGCAATCCATTGCATAATGCATATGTTATGTGCTTATTCAGTGTAACCTCTACTGTTAGAAGTATAAGTGGCAGTCTGAACATTTTGCTTTTGAACCTACATATAATACATGTATAATAAATACATGTGTGTGTATAGTGTATGTGTGTGGGACTTACTAGTTGAATGTAATTGATGCGTTTGTGTTTAAGTTGCTGTAAAGCATGTTTAGCCTCCTCTTGCAATGGGAACGCCAAACCCTGTAAAGTCGGATTTTTACTATCCACGCTGATCTCTGTCTGTATCAGAAAGACACACACACACACACACACACACACACACATTTGTTATATATATATATATATATATATATATATATATGTTTATTTATTTATAAAAAATATTATATATTTTTACTCTGTAACACCAATATTTCTAATAATATTTTAATGCGAATAGAGAGCTGAGGCTACCTTTGCTTGACCACTTACAGTGGCAACTCGTCTTCGCTCATCCTAAATAGAAAAGTACAAAAGTTTAGTGTAAATCCACTTAGTAATACACACTTGAAAACAAATTGAATCACAGGACACTTACCCGTGCCACTCTGTCCTGTTAGGTGCATTGGAAAGGAATACATGAATTTATTAGACATTAAAGTCAGACAAACATTTACATATTCAGTTTTATGCTGTGATGTACACATTTCGGGCCTTCCTCACCTCTGTTATTTTAATCTGATGGAGTTGTTGCTCAGCAGTGGTGAGGGGGGCCGGGATGGAGGAGGAGGACAGATGTCGTAGATAACCTTGGAAACAGATGTCTTCCTGCAGGTCACAACAGTAAACAGTGCTTAGATGACACATCATCACACTTCTTATCATGTGACCTGAAGGAACCTGACCAAAGGTGAGTAGGTTTACTGTTGTAAACCCAGTAAAAAAGGAAAATCACAATAAAATCTAAACTCTTAAATAAAGTTTCCAAAAGGTTTCTTTCTTAATGTGAAGAACATTTTAAGATTCTAAACTAAGAAACGTTTTCCACTGTAAAGAACCATTTGTGGGATGTTAAAGGTTCTTCATGGAACCAAATCAAAAAAGAATCTTATTTTTGAGTATCTAAAGCAGAAAACAAATGGACAAAGGTAATATGTCAGGAAAACACATTATTAGATCATATTAAATCATTTGTTTTACATAACTCTCTGCAAGTTCTATTCTGATTTGTCAGTCGTGACATTCAGGCATCACATAATGATGAACTTTCTGGTTTACTTGATTCTGATTGGTCATTTGCGGAATTTTAGGCAATCAGATTCTCAGAAGATATCATTTTTGCATTCCCAAAGGAAATGTTCGCCATGATAGCATTTCCATGACTTTCCAAAAAGGGAAAACAGAGAGATTGATTGGAATGGAATTCAAAAATGAGAAGGATTCAGTCAATATACCGTCACTCCCCCTCGGCTGTTAAAGTAGAAGCACCCTTGGTAACTAGTTTATAGATAAAATACAGGTAAAATTATCAAATAAAATCATGCCAAGCAAACCCGCCTACACACCTGGACTGTTCCGAACAGTTCATCATTTATGTGACTTCCCCCGAACTCTTTCTTCAGTGTGGCTCTGGTAGCAGCATACACCATCTTTAACCTCACCTGTGTGGTGTAGAATGAACGTTGTCACTCAGAAGGGTAATTCACAGTATTTTAAACCCAAGGGGCTAAAGGGAACATTATTTATAGAGTGAGATGGTGAGAGCTTGTGCACACATTTCACTTTATCATGTGTTTTCTACTTACTGGTGACTGGTCTGGCGACCAGGAGATAAACAGCCACTCATATCCCAGCTGGTTCTGTGAGTCGAGGCGGAAAAGGATATAGCAGGGTTCTAGGCCGTCCAGCATGGGCAGGACACATGCGTCATAGTCCTGATCCCAGCTCTGAGAAACCTCTCTGTACCCTCCCAACACCAGCTGCTCTGAAACACACACAGACACATACACACACATACACACCTCATAACACACACCTTGACTACTTGCAGTAGCCCCAGATAAATGCACTGACTATCAGTCTGGATCCAAAAACAGCATGGTGCCACTGTTATCACACACTGCATGTATAACATTCCACAGTCCAATTTATCTTCACCTTTTACTTGACATTATTAAGGGTCAGCAAGTGACTAAAATATATTTGTTAAGCTATAAGTTGTTACTCTTAAAAATGTGTGTGTGTGTGTGTGTGTGTGTATATATATATATAGATACACACACACACACACACATATATATATATATACTGTATATACACTCACCGGCCACTTTATTAGGTACCCCATGCTAGTAACGGGTTGGACCCCCTTTTGCCTTCAGAACTGCCTCAATTCTTCGTGGCATAGATTCAACAAGGTGCTGGAAGCATTCCTCAGGGAGTTTGGTCCATATTGACATGATGGCATCACACAGTTGCCGCAGATTTGTCGGCTGCACATCCATGATGCGAATCTCCCGTTCCACCACATCCCAAAGATGCTCTATTGGGTTGAGATCTGGTGACTGTGGAGGCCATTTTAGTACAGTGAACTCATTGTCATGTTCAAGAAACCAATTTGAAATGATTAGAGCTTTGTGACATGGTGGAAGTAGCCATCAGAGGATGGGTACATGGTGGCCATAAAGGGATGGACATGGTCAGAAACAATTCTCAGGTAGGCCGTGGCATTTAAACGATGCCCAATTGGCACTAAGGGGCCTAAAGTGTGCCAGGAAAACATCCCCCACACCATTACACCACCACCACCAGCCTGCACAGCGGTAACAAGGCATGATGGTTCCATGTTCTCATTCTGTTTACGCCAAATTCTGACTCTAACATCTGAATGTCTCAACAGAAATCGAGACTCATCAGACCAGGCAACATTTTTCCAGTCTTCAACTGTTCAATTTTGGTGAGCTCTTGCAAATTGTAGCCTCTTTTTCCTATTTGTAGTGGAGATGAGTGGTACCCGGTGGAGTCTTCTGCTGTTGTAGCCCATCCGCCTCAAGGTTGTGCGTGTTGTGGCTTCACAAATGCTTTGCTGCATACCTCGGTTGTAACGAGTGGTTATTTCAGTCACTGTTGCCCTTCTATCAGCTCGAACCAGTCTGGCCATTCTCCTCTGACCTCTGGCATCAACAAGGCATTTCCGCCCACAGAACTGCCGCTCACTGGATGTTTTTTCTTTTTCGGACCATTCTCTGTAAACCCTAGAGATGGTTGTGCGTGAAAATCCCAGTAGATTAGCAGTTTCTGAAATACTTAGACCAGCCCTTCTGGCACCAACAATCATGCCACGTTCAAAGTCACTCAAATCACCTTTCTTCCCCATACTGATGCTCGGTTTGAACTGCAGGAGATTGTCTTGACCATGTCTACATGCCTAAATGCACTGAGTTGCCGCCATGTGATTGGCTGCTTAGAAATTAAGTGTTAACGAGCAGTTGGACAGGTGTACCTAATAAAGTGGCCGGTGAGTGTATATATACTGTATATATATATATATATTTGTTTTTTGCAATATATGACAAAACATAAAACCTAGTGCCATTTATTATAAAAGAAAGATATGAAAGCACGTTTTAAACAAAACATCTCACAAATGTAAATTGTTTGGTTTTAAATGATAAAACAATCTAAATGATGAACACATGTTTGTATGAACATAAGTTGTGAAAAAGAATTACACTTAAGTGTGATTTTTAAAAATAGTTATTACTGAAATAATATTCTTAAAAGAATGTATGTTTCCGGACACTTAATTGCATGTTAAAGTGACAATGAAATGAAAACTGAAAACTTTCTATCTGAAATGAAAATTCTTGTTTTGTTTTATTATGGAATTTTGCAGTATTTATTATAAATGATTTATCATACACATCATTATTTTTTAAATTCAGGTGCCTCCGTAATATTAAATCAAAATAACTTTCCCTCCCACTTGCACTCTTCTCTAATGATGTGTTTACTGGTGCGAAGGCACTGTCACTCACATGAGATCGACCAATAGCAAACCACAACCATCCAAAGATCCAATCAATTCCCGATTAACACAATAAAGTCCCACCCTACATTTTTTCTCGTTTGAGAAGCCGTTTCACTAAGATAAACGTCACAATAGGAAAGAAAAGACTAGTGCAACTTCTGTTTCTTGCCAACTTTCACTGCATTTAAATAAATAAAAAATGCAATTATCTGAACTTCAGACTTTTTGACCCTCTTAAGTAGGACTAAGTACATCTTTAATGGTCTGGTTTCACAGACAGGGCTTAAATTAAGCCAGGATTAGGCCATAGTTCAATTAGGACATACATTTTCATAAATGTGCCTCAGAAAAAAACATTACTGGTGTTCATCTTAAGACAAAACAATGGCACTGACATGTTTTAAGATATGCCAGTGCAAGTCGCTTTCAGTTAAAACAGCTCAAACATGCATTTTAGTCTGGGACTAACTTCAGCCTTGTCTGTATAACCGGGGGTTTATGCAATTTCCTAATGACTGCTATTGTCTGATTAGGTTGCAATGTAGAACATGTAAAATATATTAACTTTAAAGAGTAATTTCAACATTTTCTTTTTTACAAGGGTATTCACAAGGGTATTAACATTCATCCACTAAAATGACCTTGCAAAAAAGATTGAAAAATGTAAATCAAAGGTCTAGCATAATTTGTTGCTTGTAGATGGTTTTGATATTTTCTCTAATGCAATGACGTTCATAAATTAAAAATAAAAGCTCGAACCAAAACCATCCTCAGTGTATTTAAATAGAAGTTCTCACAAAAAAATGCTCCTACTCACCGCTCCTTATCACAATCTTCATCACTCTGACAGCTCCTCTTCTCGCCTTCACGAGGAACTCTCTCAAGTCTGGAGATGCTGGTTTCAGCAGAGAGGTATGACAATACAGCAGGGAAAATACAAATTGGTTAAAACTGAGAATTTTTTTATGTCATATATTATAATACTGACAATGAAAATGACAATCCCATCATATTTCATATTATAAATTCTTCCAAACGACTAGAGGACTTAGTTTAAAAAAAAGAAAATTGCCTGAGACAAAGGAAATGTTACACTGCTTCCACACTGTGTGGCCTGTGCCTCATTCTTGGCCTCACCATGGCAACGGGGCATCAGGACTCATAAATGATGTAGGTGCAGGTGAGATGGATGAGGAGCGGCGCTTCCGCCCGTAAGCTTAAATTACCTCCCATCATCATTCACATAAAACACAGTCTAATATGATCACTCCTAGTCCTATATAATTAAATAGGCTACCACTAAATGACTACCTCTGTAACCAAATGTCTGTTTGCTAAAACCAAGAGTTAGGAAATTTAAAGTTTTCTTTTTAATAGATAATTCAATTCCCTTTGCCTTCAAATGTGTACATTTGCACATAGACTCCAAGGAAATCTGAGAAAGGTTAACGCAAGGTTTTGATGCACTAGTAGACTAATGTTTTATCTGGAGCTTTTACAGGTGTCATTCCAAGCATCTTTCATTTTGCCTTTATTGTGTATCTTCATAGTTTATATTGCACTTCTAACTAAAGATTAATGCTTCCCATTCACTAAAAGGAGAAGAGTAAAAATATAAAGTGGTTTTACTCGAATATTATAAATTCATATGGGCTGCGGGGCATTGAAATAAAGATTTGCTTGTGCTTACCATGGATACCAGTCTGATGCGACATCCCAAGTCCCGGTGATGCTCCAGCTCAGTCCGAATTCCTGTTGAAACTCCCACGTTGTCCTCCTATTGTCTTCAGTGGCACTGCTATCTGTGCCCAGCAGTGTGGTCCAACTCACTTCCGTACAATGACATCAACGCCCCTTAAGCATCTTACCTGGGGAATCCTGTTTGAAACTCGATCTGCGGAACTGAGGAAGATGTGTAGCCTAATATTACACCTGTCAGGGGATGGGTTCCAGCACACCACCCATCTAGTATTATTCACCCATCACCGGTGGCCCTAATGGGGTATAAAGTGGAAGACAACATCTGTTACCTGTGATGAGCTGCATTATAATGCTGTAGGTTAGCTCTGGTGTCAAATAAAAGACTGTGTTGTAAGTGAGAGTCTGGACATTATCTATCTGTCTCGCTCTTCTACAAACAGTTATGCAACGCTCCATTTGTGAAAAGAAATGGCACATTATCACTTGCACACATCGAGGACCTGATAGGAGCATATAAACCAGCGGCCTGTGGGAGCTCAAATTCCACAGGGCTGACATGAGATACCGTGCAGGCGGCTGCTGACCCCCAACCAGCAGGACAGGCTGTTTATTTAGACAACCTAACCAGCTACCCAAAAGCCATTTCAAATAGTAAACCACCTCTACCAATCTTTGTGATTTTACATGAGGTTTATGAGATTTGATTGAAGGAAAAAGTGCAGTATTGTGTCTTTAAAAGGTTTTTCAGGGGAGTTTCTTTTGTCAGGGCATCTAACGGACAAAAAGGTTTAAATCTGATAATACTTATGTGTATAAAGACAGAAAGATAGAGAACATACCTGTGAGTTTGCTAGTGTTGGCTTCATGTTTAATTCACTTAGCTGTGAGCACAAACCCAGCCATTATTCATTATTCAACGCAGCCCTCCCTCCAAAGATGCTCTGCACACATAGATTCTCTTTCTTCTTCACACACCACACACTTTTTATTTCAAAATTAACTATAGTTAAATTTATTGTTGAGAGGAAAAAAAGGTTAATATAGACTTGTTCGTATGCGTTGCTAAATAATATTTAGAAGGAATTCGTCCTGTTTTTCAGCCCTTTTTTTTTAGAAAGCACGCATAATGACAAACTAAACAATAGCCAGGCTGGCTACTGTTCATATTATATTATGCTACATTTTGCAAGTATTTACTGACAAATAGTTCTGAAAACACATTCAGAACCAGTTCCATGTTTTTATTACTCTTATGAGTGGTTCTTTTTGGTGAATCAGAAACACAGCGGGACCAGTGTAGTCTGATTCTTGAAACGATTGACTCTTATGATCCAATTTTTGTGAATCAAAACATTTTGTGAGTAAAATATAGCCTATAAGTCTATAGCTTTGTTAGTTTGGTATTTTTATGTAATATAATTTATGTTGCCCAATAACTTTTATTTTATACTGTACTAATGTTATGTATATCCACTACTCTAATGTGTGTTTTTTTTTTTTGTGAATCGAAAATGCACAAATGGCTCAGTAGCATAATTTGTCGTTTGCAGAGGGTTTAAATGTTTATTTTATCCAATTACAAATTGATCTGAGGCAAGATTCATGAATTGAAAATAGCAAATAGCACCGACCTATTCTTTTTTAAATTAATCAAAATCTTATCCAGAACAAATGACTCTTTTGAGGCCATTATTTTTAATGGATCAACCAGTGTAATTAGATTCCGGAACGAATTACTGAGCAGATGTCAGTGACTCAAAACATTTGAAACATCTCTGCCTATAGCGACTTTTATTTTGAACTGTTGTGCATTGCTTCTTCTTGCTCATGTGTTCTTACTTATGTGATGTGTTTAGTGTCCACTTGATTACGCGGCTTTAACTGTCATACTCGCATTTTTATTCGGATATATACAGCAATGAATTATGTAAGATCTCGGGGCGCAGGTTTTTAGAAAGAGAGTTACTTTTGAACTGCTGATCTGTGAAAATGCGACACGCACGTGAGGTGACATATACGATGCTCATGAGAGCGTACGCCACAGCTTCAAAGACCGAGGCCCTCGCTTCTAACCGGAAAACGGGACTGAAAGCAGCAGATATCGCGAACAGACTCCGGAGTGAACAAGAAAAACGGATAGATGACAAAAATGAGGTTGGCGGCGTTGTTTATACATGTATTTTCTGTTTAGACTAAAGTGAGTTTGTGTGCAACCATTTAGGTTCCGTCTTTTTTCGTTCCACTCCAAAGGTTCCGGTGTCACCTCTACAGAACAGAGTGAATGAACTCAAACAGTTCTCTCAACAACTGCAGTCTATTCACCCTAGTGTGCTCGCAAAAGCTCTTTATAGGAGCATGCTTTATGAAGACCAAAACATAATCGCCATAAATAAACCATATGGTGTGCCTTTGCATAGTGAGTATTTGACATCATTTTTTTAAAGGAATGTACTATATTATGTTTTATTATTATTTATTGAAAACATTTTTAATAATTATTTTGTATATCGATGGGATTTTATGGCACTAGATAATATTCCATTTTAAATTATGCACTATTTATTTCTATATAAAAATACAAATATATAAAAAAAAACGTTTCATATCAGCTAATGCAGTGTTGAAGACATATACTAATATAATCCTTAATTTGCCTGCTCCATTCTTATAGATGTAAATGGCATCAGAAACAGCATTTCAGAGTGTCTGCCTTTGCTGGCCAAGATAACTGATGGCATGCAGGCAGGATCACAGTTGCATTTTTGCCACAGTCTGGAAAAGGAATATACTGGAGTTTTGATCCTGGCTAAAACAGAGGAAGCGGCAGAACATGTACAAACGCTCATCAGATCACACAAAGTGGAAAGGACATTCTTGTAAGTTAAACTTCAAAACTTTTTGTTGTTGTTGCTTGTCTTAGTTGAATGCAATTTAGAATAATTGTTTTCTGAAAGGCTAATTTGATAGTAAGGCAGTGTAGCATCTCATAAACTTAAACTAGTGCAACATTTTTTCCTTATTTTCAATTGATTCCCATGTTCCAGTAGCCTGGGTTTCTCCATGCTGCCTTTGCGCAGCGCGATTTTAATCACGCTGCTAGGCAGCCTGGATACCATGGACCAGATTTTCGCCTCAGCGAAAGACAGAACGGGGAGGGAGCAGCAAGATGATGACGACGTCTATGCGACACACCAAAGCAGTTTGTTTATACCTATGGATCAAACATGGCAGCAGACGCGAAGTTACCTTTCGATGCAGCCTTAGATACATACGCCACCGTGTGCACATAAATCTCTGACCCATCGTTGTCTTCCTCATCTAATTTCTGTCGCTCTACATACGTCATCTGGTATAATTGAAACGATTGGCTATGAGCTACGTACAGGCGCATTTGATAGACATTCGTAGAACCCAATAAACGGCTCTGGGCATTCGTAAACCACGCCTCAAATACGAGAAAATGAACGTGGTTCTCAGACCACGTCTCAATCTCAATGAGACGTGGTCTGACGTTAGCCAGGCTAATGTTCCAGCCTAACTTACACAAACTTAAACATATTATTTTGTTCAGGGCAGTCACTGTAGGTGTGCCTGTTCCATCCGAGGGAGTGATTGACATTCCCATTATAGAGAAGGAGGTCATGGGACCACAGCCGCATTTTAAGGTAATAAAACAATTTCCTATTCTAACCTGTTTTTAAAGACTGCTTAAAAAGACTAATTTGATTTATTACAGTCGAGAAGTAATATAAGATTTAAAAAAAATTCTGTATTGTGACACATCTGAGTGAAACGGAGTATTGAAAAAATAATCAAATGTAGGGTGGGGCTTGGTCTTATCCATTGGATGATGATTGGATGGAGGCAGATGTGAATGTGAGGTTGCAGCCAATCGAGTGCTTTAGCAGCGCTGGTTCCGGAAGTATTTTTTCCATAGGCATTAATAAAAAAAAGTATTTGTTGAAGTGTTATAAGCTATGAACCAAGCCAACCAGTTACGAGGTGAATCACAAAATTACAAAGTTTTATATGAAGCAAAAAAGTATTTGGAAACCAGACAAAGGTACAAGACTTCAGTAGGGAAAGAACTAAAATCCCAAGCATTGCAAACAACATAATCAAATTGAAAACAATGGAGACATAAAAAACTATTGATTATATCTATAGAAATAATGTTTTAAATGCATTGGAAAATATTCCAAACAAGTATTTTGAGAGCAGATTGACTCTTACATCATTGGTAGCGCTTCACGAGAGTGGGTGGAGCTAAAGAGCTCTTTTGGCGGAGTTTGTTTGTTTCAACCAGAGCCATTCAACTCTCTGATTGGTGTAATTTTCTGTACAGCATTATGGGTAATACAGTTTTTCTCCACAAATTGTTAAACTTTTTTTTTTATATAAGTTGAAAATGCATACAGATGGCTACAACAAAAGCATATACCATCGATTAACAACTTCTGAACTCACAGTAGATCTGTCTTTAAATGTTTAAAGGCCAATTCACACTGGACAGGCAAACGGCAACAAACACGTTTGTTGGGTTTTGTTGGATCAGTGTGTTACCCTGTTGCCTTCTGTTGACGTTGGTTGGTTTGTTTTCACCCGAAAACAATGTCAGTGTCAGTGTCTTTTGGGGCAGTGTGAACATGACAGTTAGTTTAAAAAAAATTCTGAATCCAATGGCCAACTTGTTTGTTGGTGTTTGTCTATGTGGTGTGAATTAAGTTATCATTAAAAATCAATTTCTCTATGGAGAAAATGACTGCAGTTGAAACCTGACTGTTGCACTCTTTTGTAAGAAAGGGACAGGGTTTAAGCGTACTAAATGATTAGAGAAGTCCAACATGCAACACCAGAGAAAGGTCTGACATTTTTACATTTATTTTTAACATTATAAGGTAAAAAAAAGAAAGAAACTTGCATAAATTCTTCACAATTAAATCATACGATGCTGCGTTTAGAAAATAGTTGACTTGTCAACTTTAAGAATAGGATCTTAATTAATGTGTAATGTTTAAGTATAATGTTTATTCTGCTCAGATGGGTCTGAGCCCATTGTTTAAAGTGAATGAGGAGGGAGATGGAGTGACCAGGGTGAGAGCTCATCGGCAGGCAGAAAGTGCAGTCACACGGTATCGGGTTCTGGACAGCACCAGTGGCTGCAGCTTGGTGGAACTGCAGCCTGTCACAGGTATTAACTGACCATGACGTGTGAAAGCATACCTGACTCGGAACGTTATTCCTAATTGTGCCTTATACTCCCGAATTATTATAAATGTAGCAAGGTTTGCCCAAAAATAATATACCATCTTATATATTTAAATGAAGAAATGTAAGCATATGATGACTAGAACCTCTTATAATGTTTGTTTTAGGTGTAAAAAACCAACTTCGAGTGCACATGGCTCTTGCTTTGACCTGCCCCATTCTCGGAGACCATAAATATGCTCACTGGAACAAACTAGCACCCCAGGTATGATAAATATAACAATGTTAGAGCAAGTGTTGTAGCACTGGTTCCTTGAATGATAATCAAATCTGCTCTACCATTCAAAAGTTTGTGGTCGGTAAGATTTCTTAATGTTTTTGAAAGAAGTCTGTTATGCTCACCAAGGCTGCATTTATTTGATCAAAAAACAGTGAAAACTATAGTATTGTGGAATATTATTACATTTTAAATAACTGTGTATATATATATATATTTAAAATGTAATTTCTTCCTGTCATTGCAAATCTGAATTTTCATCACCCATTACTCCAGTCTTCAATGTCACGTGATCTTTCAGAAATCAGTCTGATATACCGATTTGCTGCTCAAGAAATATTTCTTATTATTTTCAATGTTGACAACAGTTGTGCTGCCTAATATTTTTGTTTTTTCAGGATTCTTTGATGAATAAAAATTTCGAAAGAACAGTATTTGTTTGAAATACAAATCTTTTGTAACATTATTTATTAATGCCTTTACTGTCTTTTTTGAGTAATTTAAAGGGATAGT